GGAAAATTGAAAAGTTGCTTTTAAAAATAGAAAAAAGTGAGTAAGAAGTGAGTAAGAAGCGAGTAAAAACAAAGTTTATAAAAATCACAAATTTGAAACTTTTCAAAATTTACTGTTTAAGGTCTTTTAAGGTTAAAAAGAAGTTAACCAATGTAAGTTTTTAAGAGGGAAATTTAAACTTATGAAATATAAATAGTGGCAAAAAGCTGAAGCTCTTATAAGCTTCACCAAACATGCCTTTAATCAAGGATTCATCAAGTTAATTCTCATGAGCCCTTGCAAAGATTATGGTGATCAAGGACTTTAGTCCTTATTCTACTTACTCTTGGGATTGTTCCCACTATTTTAAACATCTTTGTCAATTTCCTAGCATCAATATTTTTTTGAGAGATATATTAGGATTTTATCCCTTAATTTTTTATTTATTAGAAATGGTTCAAATCATATAAATACAGTTTAAATACAGTCCTTGTTCCTTTCTAAGTTTTTCGTACAATAACTTAGTGCATAGCAAATGCACTAATGAATTAGTTCTATTTCACTCAACAAATTTGTAGATAGGATGAATAGAGGTCAAACCGACACCAATACAGTATAATTAATTTGTTAATAATTTTAATTCTAAGACATTTATGAACAAAATAATATATGGGGTTTTCAAAATAGATTTAACTATCAAAGGGAAAATAGTAATAATTTAAATCATGAACAAGAATAATGAGAGAAGCTTTCGATCAAAGGATATTATCCACCATTGGATTCAACATTGATCATTGATTCAAGGTTAATTCCAATTGTTTACCTAAACTTCACCTAGAATAATAGTGGATTCTAGTTATTCTAATCTTTTTGTAATCCTTTGTTAATTGAAATAAGCTCTTCAATTAATCTATTACCAATAAACTTTTTAGAATAAGTTTTCCAGCTTTAGTTTAAAGCCAACTTTAGAATAAAAATGATATGTAGAATATAAACAACAAATGTACAAGCTTGGTTCATCTAGTTTAGTCCATGTTCTTTAAGAAATTAGGTGAAAACTTGATCATAATCATACTTCTATTTGCTAGTACATGCTAGAGTTATCAAGCACTTACATATCTAATTTCCAAACTAGCAATAGATCATAAAGTTCAATTACATAATAAATCTCTTATCAACTAAACAATTTAAACAGCATGAGATGTTCAAAATAAAAAATTGAAAATATAAATAGAATTAGTAGACCTCACAATATTTGTCCAAGGCTTCAACTTCTTCTAGAATCAAAATAAAGAGTTTAGAATGACAAGTTTTGATTTGCATAGTGGAAAAGAAGAAAAAAAAAAATGCATCTCCCCCTAGGACCCTAATTTTAGATTCCTATTTATATGCTCCAAAGAAAAGGGAAGAGGAAAATGTGTGAACATTTGTTCTTTCCTTTTTAACTTCTCACACATGGAAGTTTATTAAAAATCCAAATCCTACTCAGATTTAGATGGTTGATTTCTACCCTAATTTCAAGGGATAGCCTAAATGACTTTGGATTTGCATGTTCAACCCCAATTTAGGGCTTGTCTGGTGTAACAATTAAAATTCAGTGGACAAGGAATAGCTAGTGATAGATAACAAATAGCAATAGCGGGTAGTAGGTAGTAGGAAACGAATAACGAAATGTGGATAGCAGATAGCAGATAATAGATAGTGAATTTGATTGATTAAATTGTTTGATTATACAATATTTAGCCGTTGTAGTTCAATATTAAATTACTAACAAGGATATATTTAAAAACAATTAAGTGTATTTTTTAAATTATTTCTTTGTTTTTTATTATTATACTTATTAATTTTATAAAAACAATAAAAAATAAATAAAATCAATTATAATAATGCAATTACACCTTCATTTCTATTTTTAACAAAGAAAAAATTATATTATTTTTAAATAAAGAAAAAAATTTTAAAATTTTGTCTAATTAACAAATTTTGTTTATTAAGATAATATATTTTTTATAATAAATTAATGTAAAAAATAAAAATATCATCATAACTTAATGTTATTAAAGGTAAAAATGAAATTGACACTTATTAGATAAATATTAATTAAAAATTATGGTAAAAAATTAAAATGGACAAATTTGTCAATAAAATTAAAAAATTCTAATTTGCTAATAGTTTGATACAAAAGCTACTTATGTTAGCTTTTTTAATTTACTAGTAGTTTGGGCCATAATCGATAATTGATAACCATTATCTGCTAGTTTTAAACTGTTATCCGTTAGTTTCAAATTGTTAAATAAAATTTTTTTATTAAACACTTTATTTATAATGGTTTTAAAATATATAAATTTACCAAACACCTATTTTTAGCGGTTTGTGAAAAATAACTAATTGCTACCCAAAAACCATCATACCAAACGAGCCCCTAAAAAGTTTAAGGCGTTTACTTGAAGTCCACTGAAGGCTACTTTTCCATCCAACAAGTTTAGGGTTATAAAATGGCAAAACCATAAGTTAAGCCCCTAAACTAACCCCAGAATCGCTATTAAGCCCCCAGAATTTAATTGAAGCATATAAGCCCTTGAACTCTACGATCGGTGCAATTTAGCCCTTCTTCTTATGGCCAACTTAATTGCCATTAGGGCCTTGCTTGCGTGGCAACATTTTGTCATGTCATGCCTATGTGGCAAGTGATTTAGCATTTGGGTTGTCCACTTGGATGCCAAAAAAAAAAAATTACAGAACGAAAAGCAAACATAAAAGGAAGGGAGCCTCAGGTCCACTTCATCTTCCCCGATCCCCTGAGCCCCACTTCTTAAGTAAAGCAGAGAGATCAGGGATTAAGGTGTTTTTCGGAATGATTAGGGTGGTTTTTGGGGAATGATTTGGGCTTCTTTCTAGGAGCAATTTGGGTTTTTTTTTCCTGGGGAATGATTAGGGCTTCTTTCTAGGAACAATTAGGGGTTTTGGGAACCTGAAATTGGGGATTTGGGATTCGGAACAATCTGGGATTAGGTTGAGTCATTGTTCTATATCATGAGTCAATCTATGGCTTTCTATGGATGCAGGAAGGACGTTCTATGGATGCACTACTGGCGGTTTCATTTCCTTTGAGCTTTATGCTAGTACTGTATACATTAATATTTTTGAAAAATTTATTTATAGAACCTAGCTCTTTCTCTCTATTTTATATGATGATAGACTGACAGTGAATGCATTTTCTTTGAATGGCATGATGGAGAAATCATTGGAAAAGCACATGATGTGATTTGGCATTTGAAAGAGGAAAATGAGTGGTTGAAGTCTCAATGGAAAAGGGTTCCAAGAGGACAAGGAGGTAACCTGAGTCACGTTGCAAATTGCATTGAGAATCTAAGGGCTGATTTGAGGGGGATGAATGTTGAAGGAAGCGTTGAGAAGGAGAGCTGGTTTGAAGGAAATAGATTTTGAAAGGCCTATTGAGATGCTAAAGGATGAAACGTCCAGGGAGTTGGTGCAAGATGAAAGTAATGGGTGATGGTGTTTGTGTTGGAGTTGAGAATTTGGTTAGGAGGTTGATTAAGAAGTTGTTGCTGACTATTTTAGTTGCTGTGGTTATTATAGCATTTATTTGTGGTCAGCTATAAAATAACCAATTCCTAAACTATTTTTGTTAAGTTGCTCTTTTTGTTAAGCTAGATGGTGGTAGTTAATGTAGACATTGCCAGCTATGTAGGATTTTGTATGTGTGAATCAGTGTTGTCAAAAGCAATCACTTCACCACTTAAAGTGATGAAGCGAAGCGATTAGAGGCACCACCGCTTCAAAATCTCTAAAGCGCTCTACTTAAAAGAAGTGGTCCCGAAGCGACTAAAGCAAAGTGAAGCGATAAAAGCGCTTTGATGTTGAAGTGATCGCTTTTTTAAAATGACACAAAATGACAAAAAATATAGAAGCATTAAAGGTTTAAATTGGATTTTGACTTTAATTAGGACAGAAACAGGAAGCTCTGTGCTTACTGATTACCTCTTCCCCTAATTTTCTTTATAATTCCATTGTCTTTTGACTTCATTATCTTCCTAAGTCCTGACTTTGTTATCTTCCTGAGTCTTAACTTCATCAATTCATCTTTCCATTTATAGGAAAGTCCTTTCTTGTTTCTTTTCTTTTTTTTTTTTAATTTGCAAATTCTCCTTCCCATCTCTTTTTCTTCCCTAACTTCATCTTCTTCCGTAACTTTATGACATATTCTTTTCTTTCTTTCTTTCTTCTTCTTCTTCCTTTTTTTTTTTTTTTTTCTATCAACTGATTTTCTTAATTTAGTTAAGATAAGGTTTCATGTAAATCTTAACAGAATTCTCTAGTATTGTCTTAATTCTATGCATTTCCTCTTTATCCCTCCTTTATCTTTTAGTTCTATTTCTTATTGGTAAACTTATAGTATTCAGATCTATCTACTTTAGGAGACCTTAATTAAGAAGCTTAATATCATCTGCATAGTATAGATTGAAATAGTCAAATTTTCACTTTATAAGACTCTTGAATTTTAATTCCAAAACAAAATTTAATTTTACTTGCACTCAGTAAAATAGAATTTAATTTAAACCTATTACTTGCACCATATTGTACTTTTCCACTCTTAATACTTTTAAGTTTCTATTCTAATTAGTTCTATTCTATTTAATAACTTATCACTTCAAAGTGTTACTCGCTTCAATTTAAAGAAGCGATCGCTTTGTTTCTAGCTTCATTGCTTCAGCATTTTTTAGGCCATCGCTTCACCTTGCTTTTTGCCTTTAACAACACTAGTGTGAATGTAAAGCAACCATGTCTCTTATACAATCTGTATCCATATTCTACCTTATCAATGACAAAAATGCTTTTGCAATAAATGAGCCTTTACTTCTTATAATGTTAAACTAACAATATAAATGACCATTTGCAACAAAAAGCTTGAACAAAAAGCCTCGAGGAAGATGAAGTGGACCCGAGGCTCTTTTCCTTTTATGTTTGCTTTTTGTTCTGTAATTTTTTTTTTGTGGCATCCAAGTGGACAACCCAAATGCTAAATCACTTGCCACATAGGCATGACATGGCAAAATGTTGCCACGCAAGCGAGGTCCTAACGGCAGTTAAGTTGGTCGTAAGAAGAAGGGATAAATTGCACCAATCGCAAAGTTTAGGGGCTTATATGCTTCAATTAAAGTCTGGGGGTTTAATAGCAATTCTAGGGTTAGTTTAGGGGCTTAACTTATGGTTTTGCCTTACAAAATTGTTATAATACTCTTTAGAGGTTTAAAAAAAAAAAAAAAAAAAACTTAGATTTGCGACCTCCACCTTAGAAAGCACCAATTAGTTCAAAGTTGCCATCAACACCCAAAGACACGAAAGATAAACATTAATAAGCATATTTGGGCATAAAGCGCACTTATAAGATTAGATATAGGACCTGAACATAACACATATTAAACTATTATCAAATTCTCCTTCTTAACTTTTGTAGGGATTACAATTGCATTTAACATATGTAATGAGCCGTTAAACCCCTAGGTCGCCTTTTGTGGGATGAGTTATATCTTGTGAATGTTTTCAAGATCTACCCATAAAATCCTTCATGAACTGAACGTAATGTATGCTAAAAAAAAAGAAAAGAAAAGAAAAACAAAACTATTAGCTAGTAAGTGAGCTCATGAACATCCTTCAAACATTTCTCTTAGTCCTGAATCCAACAAAATCCAATGAATAAGTCAATCATGTTCTAATTATTACTTTCATATCTATGTAATCCAAATAAAATTGGGCAGATTCATAGCTAACATAATTTAAGCGAGCATTATTTATCTTCCAATTAACCCTCTTTACTTAGGGATGTCAACGGGGCCCTACGGGGCGGGGAGTTCCTCCCCGTCTGCGGGGATTTTTAACCGGGGGCAAATTTTGCCCCCCATCCCCATTCCCCACCAATTAATATAAAAAAATAAATTTTTTTATATATAATTAATTAATATTCAATTGTAATAAATAAAATTTTAAAAATTTAAGTATAATTAATTAAAATTCTTTAAATATAAATTATCCAACCATAAATAAAGATCAATCTAACATAAATAACTAAAAGGTTAATAATATGTTGGATAAAATTGGATTAAATTTAAATTTTATTGAATTGGATTTAGGTTTGAAGGTTGAATTAAATTTAAAATAAAATTAATTTACATATTTTTTTAATTTTTCGCGAGGATGAGGATCCCCACGGGACCCCGCGGGGTGAAAAAAATTCCCCACAAATTTTCACGAGGAGAAAATACTCAGAAAATACTCCCTGTTGCCGCCTCGCGAGGAGAAATATTTCTTTCCGTCTCGTCCTCGTGGCGAGGATCCCCATAAGACCCCGTAGGGATCGGGGCAAATTGCCATCCCTATCTCTACTAAATCTGAGGCACCTCTTTATTTGTTTGTTCAATAATATTCGTTTCTTCAAAAAAATTAACCCTCTCTACTAGTGCAAGCAAAAGCAAAAAATCAAGAATTTTTTTTTTTTTTTTTTTTTTTTTTTACATGCGGCCATAATAATTTTTTCCTTAAACACTAGCCTTTTTTTAATTTAAAATTTTATATAATTAAATTTCAATACTTAAAAGTATATAAGGTTGGGACTCTAATTTTTTTGAATTAGAATTGATATGTATTATCTTTTATTTATATATATCTATAGATTTAAGATTTATTTATATATAAATTTTATACACTATACTTACAAATTTTGATTATTTATCTTTCAACTTAATAATTGAGATTTATTTATTTTTTATTATATTTATTGAAAATAATTTTTTTTTAAATTCTATACTAAATTTTAATCATTAAAAATAAAGAGATGAACACTTAATATTTTATATAAATATAATATATAAAATTTATATATAAATAAATTTTTACTCATTTATATATATATATTAATTACTTATTTTATAATTTAAATTATATTAAACAGTAAAATTAAGGCCTTAAATAGAAAAGAGGGCTAGTATCATGGGATTTCTCCAAATTCAAAAGGTAAGTATTTTGCAGTATAATCTGCGGAGAACTGCAAAACAGTTTCCAGATTTTTTTTTTTCAACATATAAAATGCTGGAATATTATTCTTCTTTATTTGAAGAGGAGTGCTAGGGGCACTTGCCTCCTGCACTCTCCGGCCTTTCACTTTTATGGGGCCACGTTATTCTGGTCGGTAAGAGGTTACACTCCAAAGCTGGAACAAGCTTACGTGGGCCAATGAAAGGGGAAGTGTTGGGCGGAGAGTGCAAGAGGCGAGTGCCCCTATAACTGCTCTTATTTGAAATCTGACCTCAGAAAGTAAGTGGTGGGAAACCGAAAAGATATCATCCTTCCCTTATTTCACCGACCAATCTCCTCAGAGACAGAGAGATAATCCCTTAGTGTTCGTCTTTCTCTAGGGTTTTGTTTTGATTGAACCCGAGATGAGTGGGCAAGTGCCGCCTTCTTCGGGGTCCAGGAGGAGTGCGAATCAGAGGAAAGGACTTTCAACCAAGAAAGCTCTACACTCCGATAATGGAAACGTTAATGGCCATCTCTCCAAACCCACTTCCCCTTCGTAAGTTTTGTTTTCCAGTTGTTTCCCGTTAAATTTTAGTTCATTCGAGGGGAGAATAAATTCTCAGTCACATTTTTCTTCTTATTTGATTTTTTCTTTCCGGTTTCTTGAAGGACAAAAAAAACGCAGAAATATCTCCATGACCATGAGATAATTCTTTTTGAAATTGTAAATTAAAATTTTTAAGGTTAATTTTACTGCTAACTGGTAATCAGTCTAA